ATAAAATATCGGACATTCTGAATGCCATCAGCAGAGAGCAGCAGAATGGACAGGGAGCAAGAGTCACAGGAAGTTCATAGGAAAAAAATCCATGTGGCTGCCTGTCTTCAGAAGCAAATCCAGAAGCTCAGGGACAGAATGGCCAGATTTCAGGCAGAACTCCAAGCCTCTGAATAATAGTAAGATGTTGGAGGGGTGTCAAGGAGTAAACTTACTGGAGGTTCTCCACTCCACAAAGTGGGAGCATGGGGTTTGAGGAAGCGTCTCTAATCCGGAATGAGTACTCAGAATGTCAATTGAAAATAGCAAGAAGTGCAGATGCTACAGTCAGAGTCAATAGAGTGTGTACCTGGAAGGGTCCCGACCTGAAACGTCGACTTTCCTGCTCCGCTGATGCTGCCTGACCTGCTGTGTTCCTCCAGTCCACACTGTATTGACTCAGAATGTCAAGTAGCAGAAGCACAAGTGCAGGTTCGAGAGGACAACCAAAGACTAAAAGCCAGGGCTGGTACAGCCAAGGGGCACCTCAACAACATGACGGGTTGTGCAGGAACGATAGTACAAGGATGTGATCACAGATCTTGCAGGGAGGAGATGCTCTTTCCAATGGTAAGGGAGTCCAAAACTAGAGGTTGTAGGTTTAAGGTGAGAGGGGAAAAATTTAAAAGGACCTGAGAGTCAACATTTTCATGCAGAGGAAGGTGTGTGTATGGAATAAACTGCTAGAGGAGATGGTGGAGACAGGTACCATTACAACATTCAAAAGGTAACGGGGCGCGTACATGAGTAGGAAAGGTTTAGAGGGATGTGGGGCAAATGTTGGCAAATGGGACTATATCAATTTAGGATATCTGGTTAGCATGGACGAGTTAGATCAAAGGGTCTGTTTCCTTGCTCTATGACACCCTGACTCTAATCAAGCAACTGTGAAAATAAGAAAAATATCTGTGTTATTCATACATCTAAATCTCACTGCCAAATGACAAAACCATACGCCCCAATTTAGTTACTGTTATTTTATGGGCACAGTGCATTACAAATGAACATGATCATAAATTCACACCTAAGATGGATGGCCTCACTTTCATTGTACACTGCTAAGTAATGATCTTTCTCTATGGCATCTGGGTTGACATTTAGACAGGTCTGTTGAAATAAGCAAGTGATTTTCAAAGTTTATAAAGGAGCAAATGAAGCAAACAACTCATTGAGCCTACAATCTTATAAATAGCGTTTTTTTTTCAAATAATTTGTTGTTGTTTAAAACCAAGGTAACTATTGTGTTAAGAATCATAGAATGGCTGCAACACAGAAATAGGCTATTCAACCAATCATGCCCGGCTTTCTGCGGGAGCAATTCACCTAGTCCCTCTCCCCCACCTTTTCTCCATTGCACATTCTTCCTTTTCTGTTAATAGTCAAATTACATTTTGAATACTTTGATCGAACCTTCCTCCAATATACTTTCATTCAGTGCCTTCCAGGTCCCAACCACTTGCTGTGTTAAAATGTTTTTATTTCCTTATGACGCCATTGTTTCATCTGTCAATTATCTTAAGTTTGGGTTCTTGATCCTTCCAACAATGGGAATTTTTATTCCCTCTCTGTCAAGATCTCTCATGATTTGAATACTAATGTCCTCTCAATTTCTCTTCTCCAAATAAAAAAGTCCTAACTTTTCCAATTTATCCATGTTAATGAAGTTCTCCTCCCTGGAACTATATTGTGAATCTATTCTGATCACGCTGTAAGATTTTTAATTTCTTTTGTCTGTCAGATTCTTCCTGATGTGCAATGTAAAGATCTGGAGGCAAATCTCCAGTTGAAGATGTACCAGCACTTTATACATGTTTAACATAACCTCCTCATGTTTTTACTTAATGCACCATTAATAAAACACAGGACTGTATGTTTTATTAATCAACATCAACCTATTCTGCTACCTTCAATAATTCATATACATATACATTTAGTTTTCACTACTCATGAACTCCTATTAGAATTATACATTTTAGTATTGTCTCTCCATCTCTTCCTTTTCGTGAAATGAATAACTTCACAATTTTCTGCATCAATTTTGTCCTTTTTGAAGTTCTGCACTATCTTTCTTGAAGGTCACAATACTTCAAAGTTTTGTATCATCTGCAAATATTGAAACCGTGCCCAGTACACCAAGGTATTGGTCATTTAAATATATTTCAGCAAGAGCAGAAGTCCGATCATTGATTCTTAGAGAACTTCATTATAAAACTTCCCTTAAGCTGGAAAGAAACATATATTAACCTATGTACTCTGTCATTCAATCGATGTTGGTACTGTACCTTTTACTCCACAAGCTCCATCATTGCTCATAAATCTGTTGTGAGGCATTGTATTAATTTCCTTTTGGAAGTCCATGTACAACACATCAAAACATTTCCTTCATCAACCCTCTACGACCTCATTAAAAAAACTCCAGCAAGTTAAACATGATTTGCTCTTAACAATTCTACTTGGGCTTTTCTTATTTAACCTTTATTTGTCCCAGTGACCATTATTTTGTCTTTAAGCAATCACTTGCAGCTTCCTTCAGGCACATGTGATGTGAAAAGTCTGTGTCGAGGTTTATGATGTTTATCAACATCTCACCAAGATAATTTCTCGTATTTATCCATCTCTATTTAGAGAAATACACACTTGATACTAAAATAACAACTTCTATAAGGTTTATTTGTAACAGGTCTAATCTTCTTGAACAAGAGAATATTTAAAGATAAAAAGATTGATTGTAACAAGTGTCTTTGCTCCACATTCAATATATGCCTGTATGACTAATAGCTCAGTTTATAATATCGCTCCCTTTAAGTTGGATTTTTTTTCTCAGTTCAAGCCCAAATCATGAATTTGAGTTCTTTAATTTAAAGTAACATTTCAGACCAGCACTGAGTATAGTTGGATGATAGGTAATTTTAAGGAATTGAAGCCTCGCCTCCTTGTTCACAGAGATTACATACATTCTGATCATCTTCCAATGTTGCTGAAAACAAATGTTCTGGCTATTGAATGAACTCCCAGAATTTAAGGCATTGCTGTGCAGAAATTGACTAATATGTAGAATCACACAATGGTTATAGCACCAGGAGGCCATTCAGCTTATCATGTCCATGCCATCGCTTTGCAAGAGCAATTCACCTTGTCTCATTTGCCCCACTTTAGCATTTCTTTCTGGTGAGATAACAATGTGATTCTATTTGGAGAGCAAACAAGAATTGAAAGAGATTTTCCTCCACTACACTCTCATTTTTCAACTGCTCATACTCTGTGTAAAAATGTTTTCCTTTATATTGCCATTGCCCTTCTGGCCAATCACCTTCAGCAGAAGGAACCCATCAATTGTGAGTCACTGGAGCTTCATTAAGATATTAGGAAGAATTGGAGGAAAAGCCATCCAGGTTTTGATTTACTTTACCAATTACTGACAATTTGTCTGAGGAAGTATTCAACCCAACAATTTTAATTTGCTGAGGGAGGTTTTTGCAAAGCCACCTCCCAGATGGTAAGGCTAGTCAAACTCCGGAATGCTGATTATATTTGAAAAGTTGCCTTGCTTAAAATTTTACCTCCACAGTCACTACCTCAAGGCTGACTTATCAACACTTTGGATTGTCTTTTATCTCTTACAGAAAGGTATAGTCTACATGTGGGTGGATGGCTGGTCACCCAGAGCTAGAGGGCTTGAATACAAGAGCTCTAGTCAGATTGCATTTGGAATATTGTGAGCAGTTTTAGGCTCATATCAAAGGAAGGACGTGCTGGCATTGGAGTAGGTCCAGATAAGGTTCACAAGAATAATCTCAGGGATGAAGTGCTTTCATATCGGTAGCAGTTGACAACTCTGGGTCTGTACTTGGAGTTTAGAAGGATGAGTGAGAATCCAACTGAAACTTACACAATGCTGAGAGGGCTGGATTGAGTGGACGTGGAGAAGATGTTTCCACTAGTAGGACAGACTAAGACCCAAGGGCACCCAAGTGAAGGGATAGCCTTTAGAACTGAGATGAAGAGGAATTTCTTAAGCTAGAGGGTGGTGAATCTGTGGAACTCATTGCCTCATAGTGTAGTTAAGTGTATTTAAGACAGAAATAGGTTCTTAATTTGTAAGGGGATAAGCGTTACAGGGACAAGACAGAAGAATGGGTCTGAGAAACATATTAGTCATGATTGAATGGCAGAGGAGACTTGATGGGCCGAATGGCCTAATTCTGCTCCTATATTATATGGTTTGTGATGCAGTGATGCCAATGTGGGTTCAATTCCTGCACAGCTTACCATGAAGGACCCTCCTCAGCTGCTCCCTTCACCTGAGGTGGGGCGGCCCTCAGTTAAACCAACATTAGTCATCTCACTCTCTAATAAGACAGCAACCCTTTGGTGATTTTACCTTTTTTTCATATGTACAACCTGGTTCCTAATCAAATATTCATCCATCCCTTAATTACACGCCACTCATTGCATTAGCTGGAGGTTAATAGCATAATGTCATTTCTACTGCTTTTAGGGGACTTGGATTCCAATTCGAGTCTTTTCAATATTGAGCTTAAATTTCTTAGCCTGAGTGCTATTTCACCATGGGGTATCTCGTCATTTTAACCTCGCCAACTACGGCCATTATTTTTGGGGAGAAAAACAGTTCTGTTTCTTACAGTTTTATGGTTTTATACCTACAAGCACTTAAAGTTGGCGTTGTGATAGCAATTGAGTGTGTTTTACTAATTTAAGGACGTTGTGTATGAAGGCAGTTGTATCAAGACTATCCTATTGCGAGCTCGCCATCATCTCACTGTCCAAGGAGCCACCTTGAGGAATATCGCGGAGCAAATCATTCGTTTGTTGGTTAAAATCCCCGCCTCTCTCCAACGTGCCCTTGGTATGATTGGTGAAGATACGCCTCCTGACTCCTGATTGGTGCTGTAACTGTATATTTGCACTTGCAACGGATACACTAGGAACAGAAGTTTCTGACCAAGATTTAAACTGGGATTGTGACTGACAGAGAAATCTGCCCGTTTGAAAGCAGCAGGCTGTAAGCTGTCAGATCAAAGTGTTTTGGCTGGAATGAGTATTTCTGAGGCCGATTTCTGCGTTGTAGAGGATTCGCAGCCCGGGGGCTCTGGCTTGGACACGGCCGTTTCTCCATGGGCTCAGTCCCAGAGCCCTGCCTCTCAAACCCGACTTACAACAGCTCAACCCGCGGCTAAATCAGAGGGCAAGGCGGAGGGGGAATCACGGATTCGACGCCCCATGAACGCGTTCATGGTCTGGGCGAAAGACGAAAGGAAAAGACTGGCCCAACAAAACCCTGATCTGCACAATGCAGTGTTAAGTAAAATGCTCGGTAAGTGGAGACCATCAATTCTTGTAGTGAGAGCAGTTCCATCTTCAGAGGGGGGAGGAGGTTTTTAAAACAAAAACTAGTAAGATCACCAGCAAGTGTGTGCAATTTAATAGTGGATCCAGACTAAGTAAGGACATGGAATCAAAAGATAATTGGCTAACATAACCCGAAACTAAGGTGCGACTGCCTCAAAAACTCCTTAAAGAGTTTTTGTTTTTGTTATTAGTGCGAAGGATCTCAAATAAACTGAATTATGTTCAAAACAATTGAGGAAGGGTCACTCAACCCGAAATGCTAACTCTGATTTCTCGCTCCAGAAGCTGCCAAACCTGCTGAGCTTTTCCAGCAATTTTTCCCCCTTGTTCAAAACAACTTGGCTTTACCCAAAACACTTTTAGCAAATCTTTCTGGAATGAACTTATTTTGTTCTGAAAGTATCTGATCCGCCATCCCACTCTAAATTTGACGCTTTCAATGTATTTTGAGTTGCGCCCCGCACTGTGTGCCAATTTGATGTTTGTGTCTGTGACCTCGCAGGGCAGTCGTGGAAATCCCTTCCCTTTGACGAGAAGCGTCCCTTTGTGGAAGAGGCTGAGAGACTCCGTGTGCAGCACTTGCAAGACCATCCCAACTACAAATACCGGCCTCGCCGGAAGAAACAGAGCAAGAAAGTCAAACGAATCGAGAGCAATCTGCTGGCCCAGACCCACAGCTCTGGCCTCAGGAACAGCCAGGGAGTTTGTGGTGACAACTTCCCCAGGGGTCAGCATGAAGGGAGACACTCCGGCCAACACCAACTTCCTCCCCTCTGTCACTACACTGAGCTGCACGGTATGGGCTCGGAGTTCGACAACTATGGGCTGCCCACTCCGGAGATGTCCCCCTTGGACGTGTTGGATCCAGTGTTCTTTCCATCGCACATACACGAAGACGGCAGCGTCCCTTACAGGAACTACCAGCATCAGCACATAGACTACAGCCGCGAGAAAGCAGGCGCCCTGTCCTATTCCGAGCAAATCTCTGCCAATGTGGCCGAACTGGTTCGGAATCCACAGCATCTGTACTACAGCCAGCTGTGCCCCTCAGGCCAGGGCGGGGTGGCTGCTCACCTGGGCCAACTCTCACCTCCTCCTGAAGGCGACGTGGAACACTTGGCTCCAACTGAGTTTTGGACAGATGTTGATCGGAGCGAGTTCGACCAATATTTAAATCTAGCAAGGACTCGTCTGGATGCCCCTGGGCAAACCTTTCCAGTCTCTCTGTCGAAACTGAACCCGAGAGGTGTGTCTTGCGAGGAGAGCAGTTTCATTTCAGCACTGTCGGATGCCAGCAATGCGGTCTATTACAGTGCCTGCCTCTCTGGCTAATTCAAGCCGGTTAAGTCTTTGTAATTTGTTTTTTTTTTAAAAAATATTTTTAAAAACAAAATTTTTAAACTGTTATAGCGACCATGTATACGCTTCTAACTCAACCCAAGTGTCCGGAAATCACTGGTTGGCTTCCGATTTTAGCCGAGCGGGAAATAAAATGAACCAGAAATTGATAAGTCACTGCTTGGAAAAACAAATGAGATGGAATTTTTTGATGTCGGAAGCACACGTATTAAAAACGGAAATGTATTAGTCAGGGATCATTCCAAATGGAATATCCTGTTTTGTAAGCCTTTATGTAGCAGCACGTACAAAATGTGATCAGACTACTTTTGATTAAAATCCGAAAGAAAATGTAAATGTTGAGGTTTTTTGGAACTGTGCTTTCAGCGTTTTGTAGATACACGATGTTATTTTAGTGCTTTGATAACTCTTCACAAATTTTATAAATGTATAACCTTGATTAAGGCTCACGTCACTTCTGTAAATAGTGAATTCTGTTCTAATTGCATTTTGTAAATCTGTTAATAAAAACTTCTATTTAATACATTTCAATTTGTAACTTCCTTTTTTAAAAAAAAGTCCGCTTTTGTGTTCTAATTCCTAACATCAGGAGCCAACAGGTAACTTCTGTAAATATAGACTATTTAAAGGAGCACACTTTTTACACATTTCTCACATATCATCGTTTTGCTTGCATTACATATACCTTCTAGCTCCTGTTAGCCTGAGAACTTGTATTGCAAAGGAATTTAAAATCTGTATCTTTACTGAAATTGATTTTTATCATGTTCAAGCATTTTGTACTTGCTTTATTCTGTACCTCATACCTCCAATCACACAATGACTGACTAACTGGGACACACTAAGACATTTAAAAAAAACCGCAATTGTTCCACGTCTTTAGAAGTGTAGGCATGTTTCACTTTGTAGCTAACTATCCACTTAACTTAAAATGACGACTCGTGAAGCCAGTTCACAAGTCCAAGTTTCAGAGCTATTAACTAGTCCAGTAGCAAAGTGTATGTCAAGTCCAAAAACTTGACTTCAAGCACCATACAAAACAACAGTGGCTGCAGGTCAATGACTGCGACGCACATTGAGACACTACATAGGTGTCTTAAAATTTTTCAAACTTCAGAACCTTTTTTTTAATCAATCAAGTCTGTGGTGAAGTATGCTAATTAAAATATGGAGGACAAATGCTAACTAAATAATTACAGCAAATGTAATGAACTAATTCAGTAACTAACCGGGGATGGTTTTTTTTTCTATCAGTCATCTTAGGATCTCATTTTGATAACATCTCTTAAAAAGGCATATTCTGGGCTTCACAAACTTTCTTACAGTCTCACTGCTGCCACAGTGCATTTACCACATCTTTTAAAATATGGAGTCAATTTTAAGCTCAAGTGGAAAGTGATTTCATTTTCCTTATTTAAAAACAAGTGCTAAAATAACGCTTGCACTTTTTTTCTTGTCTACACTAGCTCCTTCACTGGAAAAGTTTTTTGAAGTTATAAGCACCTGCAAAATTGCTACACCCTTGGGAGGTTTCAAACACTCAGACCAGTGACAAGCACCTTGTTTTGCTCACCACTTTCTCCTTAAAACTACTCAACTGTATTGCCATCACAATATAATATTGGAAATCAAACTGCTTCATTTATAGATCTAATTTTCAATGGATTTTTGCTATGAAAAAATAAATGGCACAATTTATTTTGCTAGAACTAAAATAAGAATAAATGGACAAGCAAGTCTGGCTGAGCCCTTGGAGAGTGAAAGTAAGTTAACATTCTGAATCTGTGATCATTAAAGTGATTCAGTGCTCTTCAAACCATTGGTATTTGTAGTATGCTAAGATCCATACTCAACACCATGAATCAATGATTGTAATTTTGATCATCCATTTACTCTGACCTTAACCTCCTGCAGTGTTTCAATGGAGTTCAAGGAAGAGCACCTCATTTTATGATAAACCATTTTTTACAGCCTTCTGAACTCAACACTGAATTCAACACTTTCAGCCCATATTGTTCTTTCCATTTTGTTTCTGTTTGATGAGTTTGATTTTTTCTCTTGTTTTTCTTTTTTGTTTTCAGTGAAGCTGTTCAGAATTCTGCCATTCAGATCTTCTGCCATTCAGATCTCCCTTACACAGATCTTTTGTTTCTTTATTTGCCCATGGCCTCTTGCTTCTGCCCAACATTGTCAACCCTTCTGCCATTTAATCTCTGCTACTTCCATACCTTTCCTTTTAGTAGTTTGATCCAACCCCAACAACACTTCACTTACTTAAGTATTTCCCAGTTTAGGATAGGTCATTGACCTGAAAGGTTACGTCTATTTCCCTTTCCATAGATACTGTCTGAGAATTTCCAATATTTCCTGTTCTTATTTCAGATTTTAATAATCCACAATAACTTGCTTTTGTTATTCTGTTTAAAGTACACTTCCTATTTACTGACCACACAGCTGCAGTAGCAGTGACCATGGAGGAAGCTGGAGATACAATCAATTCACATTCTATGAAAAAAATGCATGGAGGTACTTAATAACATGGGGATAAATAGTGTGACTTGGAATCTGATTCACCTTTCCCCAATTCATTCAATATTTAATACTGCTCAATGATATGCATAAGCCTACCACACTATGGTCTGCTTTTCTAATAACATTTCATGCAGAACAGAGGGAATTAAGATTACCTTCAATATATTTTTCAATCATCAGTTTTATTTCATTAAATAGTTTTATTCTTTGCCTTTATTTAATTGATAGCCCATGAGTAGGAAGACTATGGGTTCAAACACCATAATATATGCTGACTTGCCAGTTCTGATAGGATGGTGTTGTGTCAGAGCTGCCACAGCTAAAATTCTGAATGGACTCCCTTGCAGAAAGTTACAAATATTAAGAAGTAAATATATTTAAGATTTATTGTTGGGCATCAATGGACAAGCCCCCAGTTTTAAGTCTTACTGGTCTGATATTTCTAAACCTTACTTTCTCATTGGAAAGAATTTATTAATTTCACAGTGAAATTAAATTGAACTACCACGTACTAGTGGAACAGCTGCCTATTTTAAACTTTGCCAGCCCATATAATTGTCCTTTCCTGACTTATAGAAAACTTCATGTTAGATGTCCTTTGGGATAGATTTATATCCTGTCAGTTCAGCTGGTTTTCTATTCTTTACTTTGGTAAGGAGGCAATGTGCAACAACGATATGTGAACTATGGTAGGATATCACACATGAGCAAAGTCATGATATCGAGACAGGTTGGTTAGACAAATCTTTAAATTGTCTAATAAAGAGGTACATATGGAAACAGGAGGAGAAGTAACTCATTTATTCCCTCAAATATGTTCTGCCATTCATTTACATCTTGGCTAATCTGTATTTTTATTTAGTTAATACGCCTCAATTTCAAATTGCTTAATACTCATACTCACAAACATCTATTAATATCAGGTTTGAAATTTCCTATTGACCTGGCCCTAATGTGTTGTGGGAAGGGAGTTTAGTATTTTCACCACCTTTTGTGTATAGAAATTGTTCAGACATACTCTAATTAGCATCACTGTAAATTAAAGGTTATGTGTTTTTGTTCTGAATTTCCCCACAATAGGAAATAGTTTCCTGCTACCTAGCCCGTTAAATTCTTCAACCATCTAATATATCTCAATTAGATTAATTTTCTTGACTCAAAGCAATGTAAGTGAAGTCTATACAATATGTCCTCATAATTAATTCCTTTTAGTCCTGGTTTCTCAATGTGGAGATGCACAGATATACGATTCTGGGATTTTAATTCAGAGACTGGTAGGAGAAGAGACTGAATATAATATGTGTGGATACTTAAGTAGAAGTGAGTTAATTCAGAATGACACAAGTAAAACAAGTTATGATAACTCTAGTATGAAATTAGTATGTAATTAACCAGCAGCAAGTAACAGTCTATTTTGTTGATGTAATTGGCATTAGTCAAATATCACATGACTATTAAGTGCATTTTTTTAGCCTTTTTCACAAAATTTTCAAAAAGCAGTGGCAGAAATGTCATGTTCAGAATTAAATGTTGATCCCTGAACTTGAACATGATTGTGCTTGTTTTTCACTTGCAGTTAAAAATAAGCATGATGTGTCGAAAGCAGCTGATAGATTTTTTTTTTTGTCTTACATAAGTTCTTTGGACTTTAATTAACTCTGTATGAAGTGCTGTGAAATTTTTCTGAGAAAAGTAGCAAAGATATGAGAGAATTAGGTCTGATTTCTGGAAAGATAATGAGAAAGACTAGAAATGGTTCTGATTGAGTTTAAAGGAAAGATGTGTTTCGTCCTTCTCAAATATTATTAAAGATGAATTGAAGAGGCAAGATTTCATTCATCCACAGCAGATTTAGTATCAGAGCACTGAAAGGATCATCATGGTACACTTTTTCATGGAAGAATTCTTACCAGAAAATGGACTTGAATTCATCAATGTGGATTTCAGGAAGTTCACTTTGAAAACAGGTATCAACCAGGTGACACTTTTTCCATTCCATCCTTGGTCATACAGCGAGGCAGAAAGAATAGTCAGAACTGAAGTCATTGGTGAATTCGAATCCAGACTAAGAATTGACTCTTAATAATAAAGAAAACCAATTAAATATTGGATACTCACCAGCAAAATTGTTAATATGGAGGAGGATAAAACCACATTTATCAGTTTTAGAATACAACCTCAAGTCAATTACAAGCTCTCAAGACCACAACAAAGTTTTCATTGAGAAAACAGTTTTTTCTGACTGATTCTAAAATATGTGGTTGCAAACTTTGTATTTTGTAGTGTTGGAGTATGTAACATTCAGTTGGTGCTCTCACATGGATAATCAGCATACTGTATTTTTAACATTAAGCATAAATTACAAAAGTCCAGTGATTATTGTTGAAAATCCTATTATCATGCTGATGTAAAATTGATGCAATGATCTGTCATTAAAATACTTTTAACTAAAATATCTCATTCCACGTCTTTCTCATTATTTAACTACATTTTCAAATGCATTCATTAATAACTGGAATGGATTTAAGAGAGGTTAGGAACATTGAAACATGAAAAGTTCGTACTCAGCCCATTACTCTTAGCATGCTCACAATGCCTCATGTATTGCATATGAATCTCTGAGTAATGTTCAATCCTAATCAACTTTTAAAGCTACTTTTAAATATTTAAACCATCCATTAGCAGCATTTAAAAACACTCTTAGATATGCATTCCTGTTATACTAATTTTGCAAAAATCTGATTTGCATAGTGTAATTGTAAATACAAGAATCTTTACAACTGGTCCAAAATTTAGTTTCAATCTGGTAGGAAGCAAACGTGCAAAATTCCATTTTCACTGAACAGAATGACTCAGGACTATAGCTATCTAATTCAGATGTTTTCCCTAAATTTGTGTGGATATTTTTCAAGATTAGCAAGTGGTTTTTATTTCATTCATGTGTGACAATGAATCGGTTTACAGCATTTATAATTACAATATCTCGTTCTTCA